GTATTCCCTGAAGAAAATTGACTTAAACTTAAATGTACACACATTAACACAGTTTACAGCAAGTGCATTTTCTACAGGCAAAGATACTGTGATATACATGCACACATATTTTCCAAAAGAAATTGGAGAATGCATTTCACTTTACGGTAAATGTTTCAGGTAAGAAAAGAAGGATAGACACAGGCTATTTTTCAGTAAACGCCTTTATTTGTTGAAGTATAAAATGCATGTTTTGGAAAATATAATAGAGCGAATTCACTGATGCACTTACTTACTTAGAGCCTTACTTCTTGTGCGAGGCTGTGAGGAATTAGAAGTCCATGCAGGTGTCGGAGAGCATGATTTGAAGAGATTGTGGGAATAGATCTGAGCTCTCTTTCTGGCAGAAAGCAAATTATATATTACGGTTTCTTTTCTAGAAAATCCCCAGATATTGTTATAAATGTAAATGGTCTCTGTAATACATTATATTATCCTCAGAAATAGATAAAAGTGTGTCATTGATTCCTGGGAGCTTTGTAATCTGATCATGTAAAAGTGTCAGATTTACGATGTTCTTCTATGCTTTAAGATACTGTGCGTTGCGTAAAGATGAATGAACGTCTTCATCTGGCATCCAGAGGCTCTTTAAACTTCAGAGAGGTGGCATTATAAACTGTCATCCAGCAGCTGTTCCCTCTCCTTTGCTGATTCATTTGTTCATCCCCCCTTTCATCTCATCTCTGCCTTCACTCTTTTTATTCGAATTCCCTCAAAACAACAATTTAGCGGCTCTCATCTGCCTGCTGATCATAAATATGTGGAAAAGGTATGGCAGAGATTTTTAACCTCTCCTGGAGAAAAATGTGCAATGTCTGCCCCCCAAAAGAGTGAATACTGTAATAGTAATAATAAACAATGACATTTCAGAGAACATGTTGTCTTGAATAACCACCAAGTACTTGTATGTCTAATTTAAAAATGGCTTCCAGACAGAACCAGAGAAGGGAACAGAATACAGTTTTGATGCATAACTCTATAACGGCAGTGATACAGGCTAAAGGGGGTTTGTGGGTCTCACTAATAGTCTGTGACATCCAAGAAAACAGAAGATTTCAAATGCCTTCTGCACATGCTTTTCTTCCATCAGGCTTTAATTACTAAGCAAAAAGACTTCTCCAGTTTAAACTCTGAAACTTGTTTTTCTCAGTCTTTTCCAGCTCCTTCTTTGGGGCTCCATGGGGATTCGGTGTGCGAAACGAAAAGGAGCTGGAAGCAGAATGGCACTTTAATTCTACTCCATTCCCTGCACCCCCTGCAGATCAGTGCTGGTATCCAATGGCAATCAAATTGTGATTTGACTTTAATTATCTGATGTTCACACACTTCACAATCCTTGGGCGATGTTGGGAAAGCCAGATGATCTCCTGGACTGGGAAGAGTGTATGCAAGTGAAGAAAAGCTTTAACAAAAGTGTGCCAAATAATTATTCACTGTCACTCTTTCCAGTCGTGTGTAATGGATAAACCAGCTGGCACTGAATTAGTAACTTGTTTTTAGTGATGTACCGTTATCATTACTAGCTTCTCAGAACCCTCAAGGTTTTCACTGGATTGGAAATCTCCCTTTCAAGCTCCACGGTAGTTAGAGAAAAACTCAATAACTGGAACAAATCTACTCTTCAGACCTAATACCAGCAAAGTGTTGCTTTCTATCACACACCCCCATATACGCTGACACACACACAAACACACACGATGTCTATCCTGCTGAATCATACCACTGTCAAAGAGACAGATGATATCTGTAAAACTCAAAGATGATGCTTTCCAGTTCAATTCCCATCTCAGTTAGGTTTCATTAGTTCCGTGCAACACCTTCTGATAGATAATTTGTCACGTATGCAACACACCTGGGGGAGAATGGCTGAAATTAAAGCAGGATGTGTGATCTGACAGCAACAATCAGTTTGTTGTAAAACCCCTGTACAGGTTTTTTTGTAAGGTGTCACAAGCGGACACACATCATCATCTTCCTCTAACACACAGGCTTCTGCTCCTGCATTCACAATATGATGGATGAATAGGATCACGACTCAAGCACAGGCTTTTGTGAAGCTCCATACCTTTCACCAACTTAGCAACAGCAGTAATGGAAGATCCGTGTTTATAAGAGCTGGCTAGTTGTAGCAGAAACGAAAATAAAATATTCTTCACATGTATAATTTTATCCCTTTCTTCTTTCTACTTTTTAAAAGAAAATATCTGAGAGTAGCAGCATACTGTGTTACCCACTGGTTTTATATCTGCAGTAGTCTTTTGTTATTCAGCCTTCTGAGACGAATCTAAAACATTGTTACACAAATAAATGTATCTATCATTTATTCAAACGCAAGTTGAAATGTTTTCTTTAATAATTCATTTGTACTTAACATGTGAGAACATTGGGATGTGCAGTGAACACAATTAAAATTAAAAGTACAGATATGCTAAATGAAAGAAATCACATAGATATTTCACATTGTTGTAAATCAGAGGCCTCAGATTGTTGTTCTATTAAAAAAATAGGGACCCCTGGTGCGTCACAACCAATGCAATGGCGTAGCATTAACACAAAGCATTGTGGGAAATGAAAAAGGCTCACAGTGTCCTACATTGAAGCAGCTCCTATAATCCCCACGGACACATTTTTTCATTTCCACCTGGACGGCTGCCAGTGCAGAGGATTTCTCTGCTGCTAACAACATCACATTGCCCAGATGAGAGGACGTGTACCTGCATGTGTATTATGACTAGTTCTAACAATGATATGTCTACAAAAACCAGACAAACACATCTCTGTGAGAAGACAAGAAATATCAGAAATAGTGAGGTTTATTAATTCTCTCCATCAAAGTTAAAAGTTTCCTTATTAAGGAACATTAATGATGAATGACCTTGGCAGGGTCACACTCTTCTCTGACTTCATCACTAATGCAGTGCGATGATGTTTTAATCAAATATGCTTCAACTGGTTAAACAGCTGTTCAGCTATTCTGTCACGTTATTAATTCGATGCTTTAATTGCCACACTTCTGAAATTTGTTCACTCTTTTATTGGGTGCAAAAGGACATTCGACCACATGTCAGAAAGTTGCAAAACATAAAAGGTAATTGCACACGAAGGTGACTTTGAATCAATGATAGCAGACACATTTTTCTTTTGGTTGTGTGTCTTCATTATCTGCGCTGCCACTGACCTGACAAAAAAAGTTAGAATTGTCCACAAGCGAAAAGCACATACGGTTCTCACAAAAAGGCCATTCACCATATAAACAGAGAATTTCTATAATGACTTCTTCATTTTTTTACATAATGTGCTGCTAATGGACAAAAATCATGAGCAGAAAAAGCAAGAAAAATACACTTTCTACAGGAAAGACATCTCGAATTTGACATTGAAACATTGTTAACAAAGACACTCAAAAGAGGAACAATCACAACGTGTTGGTGACACATCCAACAAGTGAACCTCACTTTTATAACATTCTGCGCTGTCCAGTTACTGACTGCATCATATCTGCATCATATTTTTCTAATCTATATTCAACTGCATTTTTTCTAACGTGGATAGAGGCTGTTGCATGGCTTTTGCACTATTATTAACTAAGTGAGGAAAAAAAGAAACTCTGGAGTTGAAACCAAAGTTTATGTTTTTGTTGCCTCTTTTAAACTTTTCCTTTTGGGGCTCCAGCACCGCCATTGATATCAATAATTTAGTGACAAACAGCATTGAAACAAATGTCAACCACAACATTAAGGATTAACATAAAAAGCATCAATTTTATCCACTAAGCGGTGCTAAAATCCATTAATTTCTTACATTCTTTAAAAATAAATGTCATTAAAACTAGTCTTTTTGTTCAGTGAGAGGCAATTAAGACATTTATAATGCCCCAGTGCTGCTCTTTTTCGACGTTTTCTTTATGTGTAGATTTTTTTGATTATGACGCACTTAGCTTTGAGGAACACCAGCAGACCAGTAGCTGCTCACCGTCATACATATACAGCACAGATCATTACTACCCAGATGAGGAATTAAGGATTGTCCTTGAAGGTCAAGCCCCTGCCCTCGCTGGCCTCTGCAGGCTTCCACAGCTCTGTCGATACGCCAGTCCCGGGCAGCTGTCCGACATCGCTATTAACCTGAGCAGAGCCAGCCCATAAAGCTGTTTGGGATATGGCAGCTGCTCAAGGGGCAGAGAGGTATTAAGCATAGATTTACAAGAATGAAAATGTCCTCCCTCCCTCATAATCTCTGGTCTTTTTACACGCAAGACAAGCCATACGCACATGGACATACACACACACACACACACACACACACACACACACACACACACACACACACACACCACACACACACACACACACACACACACACACACACACACACACACACACACACACACACACACACACACACACACACACACACACACACACACACACACACACACACACACACACACTTACGTAATGCTATCAGCGCGGTGCATTGGCTTGTTTGGACGCACCATACACACACTGTGTATTGACAGAAAGCATGCACTGTCACTCCTTCACTGACTTATTTTCACTGCCGGGGCTCATGCATAATATTTAGACATTCTGCCATGGTTCAAAGTAATCATCAGCGAGTTGGTCTTGTCCACTTTGAACTCTGGAGTATCCATCTCATTTCACTACGCTTTCTGGTTCTGGTGCCTCATCAAACAGCCAGGAAGCTCACAGCGTGTAGTACTCAGGAATAGTGTTCCACAGCACATCAAAGCCTGAGCTCACATTCACCACAAACACAGTGCAGCATTGTCAGTATAAGGAATGCAACCAAAAAGAGCTGTTTTCAAATAAAAGCTGAGCTACTGAAGAGAAAGCAGAGAATGACAGTAGGTCATATCATTACAGTAGACTGATGCAACAGCATGTCTTCTTCAGATGAGCAAAAATAATTTGAAGTCTCCTGTAATGTCCCCAGGGTTCAAATTGAATGGACACTTCAACAGGTGGGTCCCAAAGGTCTTTGAAAGTGTGCAGTCGCACGATAAAACTTTGTAAAAATGTTGCACTGGTGCCCTTCTCTTTGGGATTTGACTGAAAGAACAAACAGTCAGAATACTTAGCTTTTTTCAATCCCAGCGGCGATGCTAATTTCCCTTACATCCGATCCTCTAGGAATCAGAAGCACGGTCTTCACAGATTTCCAGAGCAGCTTTACTCCCACCACCAAACACTTCCACATTAGCATCAACCCAGGGAACCACGTTGCCCGGCATGTACGCAGAGCAGTTGGCCAGACCCACGATGTCCATGGGCCGCAGAACTCGGTCCCACATGTTGAACTGGCTCAGCTCGCCCACAAAGGCCTGGGTGGCGTCAAAACGGCCTCCAACTATGTCCTTCATGGAGAAACAGGAGATGAAAGTTTGTCAGTTAACTTCTGAGGGAAATGTAAACAGACTTGAATTAAAATGAATCAATTCTGTTTGATTTCCGTCAAACTGCCAAACAACTCTGAGTATTTCTGGCGGACCGCCACTGTAAAACATCTAAGTGCATCTCCACTGCTGTGCAACATGCAGCTATCTAACCTTGCGTGGATGACACTTACAAACAATGGCTCTCTGAGGATATGACTCATACATCAATGTACATTTCTTAAGTACATACATCCTGTCATGGAGCTAACCGCTAATATAATCCGCTAGCGCAGCTCCCAAGGGCTTAAAGGTGCAGTTTAGAGAAAGATGAATGAGGTAATACTGAAAGTGGCACGATAGCGTGAGAAGAGCCTCCCTGCTTTCTCTCCCCGGCTCCCTGCGCTGCGCCTCCGGCTCTTAACTCAGGGGAGAATACACCCAGGGATCTTAATGACGCAAGGAAAACACACACACCGATACACACACACCCATGCATGTGCACACACCAGTTCTTTTCAACCTAAGCTTCTCTACTGCTCTCACCTGCTCCTGGCCCAGGATGATCACCCCCCCAGGTTTAATTGGGTGCCAGGGGGCCAGGTTGTCCCCAGTGCCTAGACGCTCGCCGTCCTGATAAGCCTCCCAGAATCCATCTCTGGTCGTCCAGGTGATGCAGATGTGGTGCCAGCGGCCGTCGCTCACAGACAGAGGGAGCTGGGCCACCTGGACAGGAGTTTAGGGTGAAGGGGCATGAGAAGAGGCAAGAGAGATTTGAGATTAATTGCAGCACGTTGGAAACAAGGACACCAATTAGGAGGCTAAGGGCTTCAAAGAGAGAGCCCAGTGCAGAGAATTCTCCAGATGAGTCGGGCGACATAGAACATTTAGATTACCCAGGTGACATCAAGGGATAGAGCACCCTTCAAAGCAGTCGGGTAGCTAACAGCAAAACCGTGTCCTCTTATGCTTTTGCGCTTTGTTCACAGATCAAAGAAAAAACAACTGGTTGTTTTACCAACCAATGACATCATAGTCCTCAGAGGATACAACTCAACACATGAGATTGTGAGTGTGTAACTCATTAGACATCTTTTTATGAGCCTACAAAATTACTACACACTCAGACACATATAAACCTGAGAGGATGGGAAGAGACACTGAAAAATACAATTATATTCACTTTCAATCAAATTACCTGATTAAGGATGCCAGGTGGTACTTTAACACCACAAGGACTACAGGGAACACACAGTATTATTATAGAGTCTGTCAGCGTATGAATAGTCTGAGCACCTCTGATGTTGTCATAAAGATTTTTGATTTTAAAATGAAAACAAAGTCGTTGAATATTTTGCAGCACCTTAAATATGACAGCTTTGATGCTTTGTACACAAAGAGCTTAAAAGTAACACACCATGAATGAATGACTCACTCATCTTCATTTAATTACCACATTTTCAGAAAGAGACATGTTACTGTTTCATTTTAGGATTTTTTATTTCACCTACAGGGCTTTTTTTTTATTAGAATGAGACTTCTTTACTAGTCATGGCAGGAAAAAGCACAAGTGTATTTCTGTTCTGTGTGCAAACACGAATAACACCAGAGCCCTGGAACTGATACCTGATATAAATGCAAGTGTTAGTATGTGTGTTTCTCCTGAGGGGAAAATGTCAAAATGTCTACTGTGAGAAAGGCCATGGTGTATTTTACTTTTGGTTCAAAGGACAGTCTATTCTTCAGCTCCACAAGGCTATAGATAAGCTTCTGCAGAGAAGTCTCAAATGTTTTTAGAAGGTTATCCGTATCTTCTACAAACCAAGAGTGTAAAAGTTGAGTTAAAAAAGAGATCACGTTGACTATGAGAAGTTTGAAAGGTATTTGGAATATTTTGGAATAACCCACGAAAACCTGTAAAGAATTGCTTGAGGTTTTACTGACATTTTTAAAACCATCCTGCAGATAAGAGATTTATAAGCATCAGATGATTACTCGTGCACACTTGCCAAGATCATTTGGTTTTAATGTCGTACAAGACTAGTTGAATCCATTACAGATTAAGCTCCTGGCAGGCACATCGAATTGGAAAATGAAGAAGCCTTAAGCACGCTCCACTTAGCTAAAGCATGAGAAATCGACAGTATTCCTGAACAATGACACTCCTGATGAAGATGTTACTTTATAATAATAAAGACTCCCACTCTCCATGAGCACCCAGAAAATACTAAATTCAAACAACGCTGCACTTTTTTTAATCCTATCGATGCAGCTTCCTGCTTCGCTCTGCAGCTGAATGAACGGAATAACCAATGTGTCCCAGTGGACCCTGTAATCTCTGTGAACAAGTTTAACACATGGATGTGCTTCTAGACATACGGTAATCATATTCACTATTGTCTTCTACATCTTGCTCTCTTTGTGCATTATACTTTCCTTTTTCCTGGCATCTTCTCATCTCTCACTCTTTCCCCAGCTCTCTCCTCAGCAGTGTCGCCTTCAATGCTCTGCAGATTTTCTATCTCCTACCCTCTTTCCCACTCTTATTCTCCCACCATCCTTCTCTCATCTGTCTGACATGAACACATGTATAATGCATGGTGAAGGGAAAGCTGTGAGAAGACCTGCCTGTGCCAATAACGCCCAACGAAAACAAGACAGTTGGGTGAAAAAAACACTGCTCCAAAAGCAACCGTTCCAGCAGGAAAATCTATTATTACAGGATTAACATAACAGTTACAATGATTTTCTTTTTAAGGCTAAACGCCATCAAATATTCATGTATGATTCTCACACTTCTGTTGATCTAATTAAAATCCCTTAAATTGAGTGAAGTTTTACAGAATATAACTATCAGCCCTCATGGCAGCCCAATTCCTTTAATAAATCGCTGTTATTCTTGGTGTGGAATGTGGGTCAATGATATAAAATGTTTATAAGGTGCAAAATTAAATATTCAGAGATGGTCAGTTAATCTCCCCGCAGCTGTATCATGGTTGTTCTCAAATGTACATACAGTCCGTTTGTTTTGCACCACAGAGCAGAGCAACGTGAGCATATTCATGTGTTCTTTGCATTTAATTAGCACCGCCGCTGATCTACTTTTACTACCATCATTAGAGCAAGCAGTGCTGCCAGGCGAGTAATGAATGATTCTGAGCTGCTGAATACATCTTCCCTCTTCAGAGAATCAGGGCAGAGTGAGCGTTGCTATCCTCTGTCAACAAATAATTAAAGAACACTGTTCACCAGTTTCTTGCTGGGGACCTACCTTATCATTAACCAGTAGCTCGATGGGGTTGTTCCCCCACTCGATGAGGACGATCTCGTTGGCCTGGCCTGGCACGCCGTAGGAGAACGGGGTTCCTATGCCGGGGCTGGCGCTGGACTTGAGCCACATGCACACGGTGAAGGCGTACATCTCCGGGAGGCTCTTCTTAATGCGTCCATACAGGTAGTTTGTGCGAAGAGGGAGGGACACCTTAAAATCCTCAGGTGACTTGAAGGCATTATTACCTGTTGATGGACAAGGATGGCATATTAGTTTATGACCTGATCAATCTAAAAAATACTTTTCTGATAATCATGCTAAGAATGTCACAGGAAGTGTCTATGGATAGTGACAGTTGACCTGGTTTAAAGGTGTAACTTCAGCTACAGTCAAGCGGCATTGGTGATATTAAAATGTAATTCAACAAAGAGAAGATTTAAGCTTTTGGTTCCCAACTATAGTGCTTTAGTGGTTTTTTGGAGGTAATACTTATTATTATGGCAAAAGAACAGCATTTATGTTGATAAACATTAAAATTAACATAACAGAAACTTTGCAAATGTAACTTTGCTTTAGATGTCAGAAATATTGATTAGTAATTTGACCTTTTTCATGTATTTTGAAGTATTTACATGAAAAACTGGAGTAATATATTGATGTTGCATGTATAAGCATTTCTGATTAAAGCCTACGCCTAGAAGTTCACATGTAGTTCATATATTTTCTTGGAAATAAACCCATTGGGAGATCAAATAAATCAATGATGTGGAAGAGGATCACATGTAGGAAGCATATTGGCAGCTAGCAAAGAACATATCAAAGTAAAAACGTTGGAGAGCTGCTTACAACATGAAAAGAAAACAGGTGTTTTTTTTTGTTGCTGTGGGATAGTATATGTAGGAAATTCTACCAACTGGCCAGAAAACCAATGGTGCAAATGAAACAATGGTCTACCATGTTTACCATCTTAGCATGCTAACATTAGCATGCTAACATTTAGAAATGAGCCGTAAACACAAAGTGCAGCTGAGGATGATGGGAATGTCTTAGTTTTGCAGGTATTTAGTTATAAACCAAAGTAATAAACAGATGAGAATCTACACCTGATGATAACACCAGAGGAAAGATTAGAGTATAAAAGTAATAATAGTTCCTCCTCTAAGGACGTCTGTACTGCATTTCTTGTTGATCCAGACAACAGTAGAGATATTTCAATTTAAAAAAGTCAACGTCATGGTGGTATTACAGAAAAGACAAGAGATCACCAAAGTTATCAGGATAAATCCTCTAGGGACTGAAGATCTGTGGCTAATGTCACAGCAATCCTTTCAAAAGTTGTGAAGATACTTCTGTCTGGACTGAAATGGTAGATGACTGATAGGTTGGATAGACAGATAGACTTTGCCATCCCAGGAGCCCAGCCGACTGCTAGCAAGCTAAAAATACAAAACCTTATATTATTACTATACAGACTTCCATGTGTGTGCCTTAGTTTGGTTATATACTTGGTCAGCTGTGGCCAAATGCATCACAGCTTATAAATCTGCAGCTGTTGGACAGTATAAGAAAGATTAAAAGAGTTCTAATGTTCAAAAAGTCCCTGAAAAAAATTAATGAAAAATAACTGGAATAAACATGGATGATCATTTGTGATAAAAAAAATAGATAGACAGACAGACCTTTCTGAAAATGTTAAGAGAAAGGATGAAAAAACAGGAGATGGGGAGTTATAAAAAACCCAACGCACGTATTAATGTTCAGGGGGTTCGCACAATGGAGACATGTTGCATATTTCAGTTCTATTGAACTTCAGTTTGGTCCGGGTTGAGCAGAATACTTGAGGCTTAGCTAACACTGAATTAAAGGTTTGCAATATGGGCTCATGTCAGACGCAGGGTATGTCACCCACAAAAAAGAGACATAAAATATATATTATAAACAAAAACAATTGTTTAATAAAAAGGCTGTCACTACCTCTGAGTTGAACCTTTCTTCTACAAACTTCTCTGAATCATGGGGTTCTGGACTCTAATTTAGGAGGGACGATAAGATACTATACGTTACGTTACCTTACGTTATGATACGATACGTTATGTTACGATACGATACAGTACGTTATGGCGCGATACCGTGCCATGTAATGCGTTACTATACTATATGGTACAATACGTTACATTACATTTAATTAAATTATGCTACTTTACGATATGTTACGTAACCTTACATAAACTTTCGTTACAGTATGATAAGAAGTAAACATATTGCACAAATAAGAAAACCAGTGAAAACATTAGGCTACAAATTACACCACCCCACACATCCTACCATTAGGTTATTGCAAAACCCTACATTATTTAAATGTCTTATGGTAGTAGGCCCAGATGAGTTTAGTAATATGGTTTAGTTTACATTGGGGTACTCTATATCGTCTACAAGAGGATATAAGCTCATACTCGGCAAGGAGACTTTGGGATTGATCCTATATTACTTTCTGTGCTTGCCTGAGAACAGACTGCTCATATATTGACTGAAGGGACTGGCTTATATTTCTACAACATGAACATACAACGCTGACAATCCATATCTGAAATGCCCTTGATACAGCCTGGTAGAATAAGAACAATCCTCTGATCCACCACATACACCCTGACTCTGTGTAAGAATCATAATCTCTGATTAAAATAAGGACACAAACTTTCAACACAGTCCTTCCAGCTACATTGTGCAAGTGAACGCCAAGATACTTCCAGAGCGGACCTGACCCCAACCGACTTATGAACTCCTCAGTTTTTCTCACATTACAAATGAGATGGATAGCCTCAGACCATTGTACAAAACTTTATTTGTCAGTACAATAGGCTAGGATTTAAATCCGTGTGCTATAGGCTGAAGATAGCAGTTTTATCTGATTTATTTAAAATGTGGTTCTTGGGTTGCAGTTGTACATCTTTCCTGTATAAAGTTAGAGAAAACATGGCTTAGCTGACACAACACTGCGGGCCACCTGTGCTCACTGACCTGGTTTCTTAAAAGTGTCGCTGACCCTGACATGCTGCTGCATTTGATTGGTCAAAATGGAAAAGTACCATTTAATCATTTGAGGATGGACACACATCTGTTGCAGTTAAGGATTAGCAGTGGAGGCTGAAGCATATTATAGTACAAGCAGAGTGAAGTTCAACAAATAAAAGGTTTGTGTAGGCCGCTGAACCTTCCAAGTGCTATATAGTCAAATGTTGATAGCATATTCTGTGATAGATCCAGTACATTGACCTCTGCTTCACAGACACCAAAACATGTTCAAAGCATTTCTTAAAAATCAAAGTCAGCACCAGTGGTCTGTTATCATTACTCTCAGTTGGACTACAGCTTTTTTTAACTTGGAATAATATATGGATTTTCTTTCCAAAGGGCTGGTATACTGAGTCCATTGACTGCTGGACAACAGGGCTCCACGTTGTCAAGGCCAGTTGGAAAGGTTGAGCCACACACAAAAACATTGACTGTTGGATTTGTGTCATGGTGGTGTTGGATAATATAGCAGCAGTGACCTCATTCTGATGCATCTGTTCATGATATAGTGCATCACTGTACTTATACATATAAACATGTAAGAGGTCCAATGTCATTAGAGGACAGACACTTTACTTTTCTGTCTACATGACAACACAATCTTCACCCTGTAAGGAGTTTTACAAAAGGTACATTTTCAGAGACCTAAAACACTGTGTGGGTGTGGACGAAAGGCCAAATCGCATGAAAAGAAAACAATGTACGTGTAGACTAGGTCTTACATTGTATGGCCCCAGCAGTGTTTGTTGCTTTAGGGCACGTAATACACATTGCACAGGATTGCCATCTCGGACTGTGGATTTCTTTTTGCATACATTTCTATACGTGGCTGAATCTAATGTTTGTCAACTAACCGCCGGAAGCTCACATCCGAAGCTTAAAGTGGACCTATCATGCTATATTTAAATGATATATTGTAGGGCCATACCTATATAAGGTATATTTATACGTTTCTGTTTTCAAAATACCAAACAGATTTTAGCCATGCCTCATTTCGCTATTTGCTGTTCTCCAGCCCTGTTTTTGCAGGGGGCTGATTCTGTGAGCTGCAGCGGACCACGCCCCCCCGCAGAAGAGGATAGCGTGCTCTGATCAAGTCAGAAGAGGGGGAGAAAAATAGATCTCCGTCCTCCGTGTTTTATTATATAGAGTCGTTATTCATTTGTTTTAAAGCTCAATAAATAACAAAGAAGACCTTTGACCGGCACTTTTCTAATTTTGTCCGGAAGATTTCAACTTTAACGGACATCTTGACCTGTGAAAGAAACTGAAACTGAAACTCTGCCGCACGGTCCCCTCGTTCCTTGGAAGAGGCGGAGAGGTGGGTGTTTGTCATCTGCTGGTGGACTAACCGGAGAGAATTACAGTGCTTGCCTCGACAGGGAGGGATTGCATTTAATTAAAGCAGCGGGAGCAAACGCTTGCCTCGGGGAGGGAGAAAAAAAGCCACAGCGGAGAATAAACAGAAGGGTAACCATGGTAACCATGCGCGGGAAGTCTTCTTCGCTGCTTTTGTGGCAGACTACAGCGCCACTTACAGGCCTGGCATATGTACTACAGCGTCTCCAGCGCTTTCGAGCGGCAATGGCCGGCCGTGGCCCAACCCCACATTCCCCTGATAGGTGGAGAGTTGGCCCAATAGCCGTAGCGCCACCGTCCTGACGTCAGGACAGTGTTCAAATCTGGATCAGTCTGTATCAGATCCGTTTCAGCCCCTTTTTTAGAGATTTGGGTATGGAGGAAAATAGAGAGGGTTGTGTTTTCTGACACTTGGTGAGTTCCCTGGAACACCGGGGACACATATTCATGTATAAAAGACGTACAAAAGTGCATTTTGCATGATAGGTCCCCTTTAAATGGTCTCGAGCTAATTTTTACATTCCAATTAAGTCTAGGTAGACAACCAGAGTATGTACTTCATTGTGCGGCAAACTTCAGGGGAAAATGTCTCACATTTCTAGCAAAAACAAGAAAACACCACCACAAAGCCACAACCTAACAGTAGAAATGAATCAACACTTCTCTGGCACCGTTTTGACGTAAATTGAAGTTAATACGGCTCACAAAGGTTTTTATTGCAGCGTTATTGTATTGAGTCATTATGTTCTACAGGTGGGTTTGCTGTGGGGCTATTGTGCTCACCTCCTTTAAATTTGTGATTAAATCTGGTTAACACTTGTATCCTCAAACTGCCACTGAATGAATGGACTGAGTCTCACGGGACATGGGCTTACAGGAAATGTCCATTGATTGATGTATCTTTTTAAATAATTTTCCTTTTGGCATAGATGGTTTGTGTTCTTCTGACATCTACCATCAAAGTGATACCCTGGAGTGTGGACATGTCTCCAATATTTCTAAACCTAATTAACCATTCAGTGTTGCTTTCCAAGCCTTATTTTTCAAGACTAGAAGCTGCTCCGAGAATGGCTCTGAGAAAAAAAAACTTGTGTTGTGAGGTTTTCACTAGCATCATCAGAAATGTGCAAAGCGATTGACTAATTAGTGCTAAATCTGGCAGACAAAAAAAAAGGAAATCTGGCCAACAACTTGCAGCACCCATTGTACTACTTACTTTTCTCCAGCTCGGTGATCCTCTCCATGAGGGAATTGAGAGCGCTCTCGGTGCGTTGGCGGTGGGCCGCTGTTTCATTGTAGAGCTGGCTCTTCTCCTCCTCCAGATCGGCCACCTTCCGGAGGAGCTGGGTCTCCAGCGCCCCCAGCCGCTGCCGAAGCAACTCCCGCAGCTCCAGTGGCAGCGGAGTCAGGGCAGAGACACTTCCAGCTGACACATTAGTGCTGGGAAGACGCAAACTCTGCTGCTGGGAGTGCGAAGGAATGAAGGACACAACAGCAGACAGGAGAAATGAAGGATGGATATATGGCATATAGATAGATAGATAGATAGATAGATAGATAGATAGATAGATAGATAGATAGATAGATAGATAGATAGATAGATAGATAGATAGATAGATAGATAGATAGATAGATAGATAGATAGATAGATAGATAGATAGATAGATAGATAGATAGATAGATAGATAGATAGATAGATAGATAGATAGATAGATAGACAGACAGATAGATAGATAGATAGATAGATAGATAGATAGATAGATAGATAGATAGACAGACAGACAGACAGACAGACAGACAGACAGACAGACAGACAGACAGACAGACAGACAGACAGACAGACAGACAGACAGACAGATAGATAGATAGATAGATAGATAGATAGATAGATAGATAGATAGATAGATAGATAGATAGATAGATAGATAGATAGATAGATAGATAGATAGATAGATAGACAGACAGATAGACATATAGACATATAGACAGATAGTGTGTGAACAATGACACAGACAGTTAATCCAGTTAATCTCGTGCCCTCCAACAAGCATTCAGTCTCCAAAGGGATTTAGATTTGCAATAGATTTTATTTACCAGATATCATTTCATTACTATTGTTTTGAATAAAGTCATATCAAAATGAAGACTGTGTGTCCCAACAGCGGACTTTGATTGGTGACCTGCCAAACACCCATCTCTGAGCCGGGTATTAAAAGGTAGGCGCTATGTGTGACGTCACCTAGAGTTCACACCAGGCGTGTTCGCAGTAGGTTATTAAAAAAAAAGGGAGTCTACGGCCCACGATTATGAGAAGAGCTATTAACATGCAGCAAAAAACTATCAAGATGATCGTTTCTGATGCTTGATTTGATGTCACCCAGCTGCCAGGGATTGTACACACGTTTTAACCCATTTACAAAGTTTGATTGATATTTCCGGACATAATGGAACTATCTGAATAGCTCAAATGAGTTAAACCCTGGAAATCTGGTGCCGAGGGCTGAAGCAAGCATGGACTGAATGCAATTGTTGAAATATGTAGATGGCTTTGATTGGAGAGAGAGGTATTGCTCCAGGGAGCCATATGCTTTCAGCAACACCAGCCTTGCAATAACCATTATGTTAAGCAGATGCAGATCAATAGATATGCGATTAAAATGCAACATTATGTATCCTCACAGTTGCAGTATATCCTTGATTTGATCCGAGCATTAAGGCTTCCAATCAAGGAGAAAGGGATAGGGGGGATAAGAGATAGATGGATCGGCAATGCAGCATATTGTATATAGACATCACCTTGAATTTAAATAAATAGCATTGTGTTAGATAATGAGAAATTCACTATGCTGTTAATATGACATAAGAGATAAAGCCATGGCTTACACAAACCTTCTGCTGTATGTGAAGCACTTCAATAGGTGACCTCAATATCGTTTGTGATCTCTGAGCCTTGTGGAATGAATGAATTCAGCACAAGTGAGGTCTTAATGAATACAAAACATAATGGATATAAAGCTCTCAGGCATATATGAAGGACTAAACCACTAAGTATTGGATGCAGGTGAAATCAGCAGGAATACATTACAACAGCTGTATGAATAATTAGACATATGACTGCAAATAAAACATTATGTAGCACACACACAGTGGTCATCAATTATTCAAGGTTGCGTTGAAAATCCCTGCACCACATGCATGATTACACCTTTGACACGATTTGTTTGTTGCTCATATCATATTGATTCATATTTTGCAGTGGGTCTTGCAATTAGTATGATGTTCCAATGATAAAAAACGCATTTGTGTTACATGCGTATTACGTGACCCTTTGATCTCTCTATGCCCCTGGAAGTCGTCCTGCAGTGCAGAGTATTCTGAGACGTGTAGTGTTTTATCAATAAGGCACCGTGGAAGGGCTGACATATATTACATTTCTGATATACTGCAGTCATCTTTGTTGGGCATTCATTCAATTGATAATGATGTTCGTTTCGGGGGAAACTGAACAAACTGGCGCGTTTACGCATGGATGTCTGTGCCATCTTACCTCCAAGTTCTCCAGCCGACCCTTCAGACTCTGCATGGTCTTGCCCAGTTGGTCTATGCTCTCACCGGGGTCCCGGGGCAGGTCCCCCATCGTGTTCTTGCCGTACTCCTTCCGCCTGGAGCCCTGACCCCGGGACCTGCCGGGCGGAGACTCGTCGGCTGCCGCCTCGCAGCGCGCCAGCTTGGAGTTGAGCTCCTTGATGGTCCCTTGCTGGATCACGAGGGTCTCCTTCTGCTGTAGGATGGTCTCCCGGAGCACGATGATCGTGTTCCGCAGCTCGTCCTCCGCCGGGCTGCTGCTCTGCACGCGGTTCCCAGAGGGATCATACCCGCAGCCCGGCTCCGCGCCCGGGGGAATGGCGTTGCAAACGAAGCGGCTACCTGTAGCACCCTGGCTCCGCACCGTGCGTCCGCTGACCAGGTACAACAGTCCAACTACGAAAGTCAGCATTCCGACTAGAAAGGCAAATTCCACGTATTAAATGAAAACAAGGCTCCTTAATTTCAATTACGTTGAAGTCTCCGGTTAAATAATACACTTCTTTCAAAACTATAACTTAAGTGGCTACGGACCTTTTTCTAACCTTCCAAAGTGCGATATTAAATCCCAGTTTATAATGAAACCAAGGAAAAAAAATCTAAATCCGCAGTGAAAGATCATAAAATCATACATCCACTAACCACATGGTCGCTTCTGCTTTAAAAATATACCCCAAACAATCTGAATTCTTACTTTCAGCAGGTGGAAACTCGGGTATCAGGATTTGACAGCTTCTTGAAAAAAGTTGTATTGATTTGATATCTTGCTAAAAAAAAAAGAAGAAAAAATCCACAGAAGATTGCAGAGAAGTGAGTTTAGCCTGTCTTGCCTTGCCTCTCCGGTTGGTTGGGTTGTCAGTGAGTGGTGCTGAAAAGACAGCGACGCTGCTCAACCAGATTATTATGGGGAGGTGCGCACTGGCGCTTCCGCTCATCATCTGTGCGCTCCGGTTACTCAGCTGCAGGTACGTCATCACTGAAGCCCGGCGGATACAAGTCACGCTAAGGGCCGGACTCATTGACTCTTTATGACCGGTTCAAAAGTGCTGAAGCTTAAAGATGTCAAAAAGAAACAAGACTTATTCTCCAAAAGTGATGTACAGTTGTTGCCTCTTTTTTCGATTGCAGTCTCTTAAACACTGTACATGTTTCTGATGGGAATGTAACAACCTGATGTAACCAGTGCTGGAATTTAATAAAGTACATTTACTTAAGTACATTTTAGGTATTTGTACTTTACCGGAGTGTTGTCATTGTTTTAAACCTCTACTCCACTGCAATACGAAAGATAATGTTGTACTTTTTACTCCACTGTACAATTATTTAACAACTAAAGTTACTTATTACCTCACAGATTCAGATTATTTGCTGAAACAAAAATAATTTAACAAATAAATATACATATAATTATATAAAGATATCAAGCAGAAGTACACAAAGTAATTAGCTCCACCTCCACCTATGATAGACACACTAATGCAAATTATCATAATCCAGAAATGTAATATGAATCTGAAAGCAGCCATTAACGAGTCCCTTTACTTTTGGTTCTTAAAGTATATTTTAAAGCCAATACTTCTGTACTTTAACTTAAGTAAGATTTTGAGTGCAGGACTTCTTCTTCCACTGCTGGATTTAACTAAATAATATCCTGAGTAATGATTGATAAGTTAACTTCTAGATGCTGCAGGGCATTGTTGCACTCTATGCCCTTCAGAGTATAAATCATTCGAAACCATTTTTATTTTTCTTGAAACAGGGCTCACATATTGGTCTGAGGTCAAATTTAAAGGATTGGTTAATCCAATTAAAATCCACAGTTCAAATGGGAAGTTTTTATAGCTTGGTTTGTATTAAATTGAGCTCCCCGTTGCCCTTTCTCTTTGTCCCATCACACTGACATGGGCATGATAATAAGGACTTTCATTTTCTACACAGCATGCTTCGGGACATTAGTGAAACCTTACGCTTGACTCTTGAGATGATTTTAAAATAGTAAGAATGTGAGTTCAAGCCAGGTTATTTAACAGGTTCAAGTAGTGAAAGTAAAGTTATCATTCACACACATTTAACTTGCTGTGAAAATGTGGCGGTTGGTGCAGAACGGCACCAAGGCCAAGCTGAATGCTGTCAGATCAAGTTAGTCGCTGAAAAAGATTATGAACTAATGCATTTCTTTTATGTGTACATTACACAATCAGCAGTAGGTCCTTGGCCAAGGAAGCTCTTATTAAAGACATTACCATTATTTTTACATTTTCAGTTATTAAACTGCGCATGTACAGCCAGTCAATAACAGCTTTTCTTTCTGTTGAACTGATTAGGCAACGCCGCTGAAATAATTATAAAACATTTGATTTATATAGCACACTTTAAAGACAGCGTCATCTCAAGGTGCTTCACAAAGCTATAAGGAGAAAATAATAAAATAAAAAGATATCTAAAGGAGCATATTGAATAAAATATGGTAATATACAAAATAAAAATCAAAGGTTAAGAGCATAAAAGGTTTTTAAAAAATAAATAAATAAATAAAATAAAGGATGGTCAGTAAAATGCGGTGCGGAACAGGTGGGTCTTGAGGCATTTCCTAAAAACTGAGAGTGATGCCGAGGTCCGTATGTTCTCGGACCTCTGTGATTCCACAGACGTGGACCCAGGGAGGAGAAAGCACGGTTTCCCATAATTGTATTAGTTCATTGCTTATAATAAAGACAGCAATCTTTTACTGGAAATCTAGTTCATGTTTAAATTTGGCTCAATTTGTGTGTATTTGTGGCCAGTATGATTCTTGTGACCTAGGCCAAATGGTACTCAGATAATCCTTGCTTTAATCTGGCTGGTGGGAGGTTATTTTATAAACATTAGATAACAATTTTTACAGTGACAGGAAGTAAAAATATGGCATCTCAAATTCATGGTTCTGCCTGTTTCAGTTTCTCAAAGTGTCAGTTGCAGGCCAAGTGGGACAAATATATCCATCCAAAGAGGATGGCACTGCATGTAAAAACTTCAGTATGTGACAAACATTTCCTTATATTCAAATTCCATCCTTCCAGACACAAATCTTACCCCAACAACATTTGTTATGTGGAAACACGTCGAAACCTTCGAAAGAATATGGTTTCAAAGCCTTCCAGGATGGGATCCCTTTTCAAAATACCTCAAACACGGAGAACAATATGTGAGAAAAAACGTAGAAACCGTTCTTCATCCAAATTCTCAGCAGGGATCTGTCGTGCATGTGTCACATGATTCGATGTTATCAGATCTTATATTTAGAAATTTGCAGGCAAACGCTTGCCAGTGGCGAGATGAAGCCTTTAGCTTCTTTTATAATGATAGACAGTGAGAAGCATCACAGCTGGTTTTGTTTGTAGCTCCCTTCATGTTTTGTCAAACTAAGACAAGGGAGCAGGCGTCTGTCAGATACCTGCTAAGAATTGTAGAACATGAAAAACTTCAAAGCCTTGTTTCAGATTATGAATGGAGCTCAGCATGGCTGTCATAAAGCACAGAGAAGCCGGTTTTTACCAAAAACCGCCTAATCAATGTTTGTTTCCTCAGGGTATCTCCCAGAAAAGTGAAGCGATTGGACATTGATAGCTCACGTAGGATGCTCTCCTAGCATGATGTGCAGTGTTACTGTGCTGCCCATCACAGACGTCACCTCCTATCGGCTTTCACGGCCCAACAGCTAAATGTCAGCCGGCATTAATGCACACTCAGCGTACAGTGGGTACACAGAGGCAGGGCTGACGGGGAACGGCCGGGAAGTCAATGCGAAAGGAGACAGTTTCCAATATGACAGGTCCCCCTGGGATAAGGGACAGACAATCACCATGGCAACCTTATCTCCTCCCTGATCCCCACCCCCACCTTGGTGAGCAAGGAGCTGGCAGAGATGAAATCGGGGTACTGAAGACTGAGCAGAGATGACAACATTCACTTCAAAGTTGACGGGATAAAGTTATTTCCCTTTCATGTTGCAACTGGTGAGCGCTGGGGTGAAGTAACTTTACTTTTTTGAGCGCCTTCAGCGAGGGTTAAGAAGTCAGCAGGGATTGAACTCTAATCCTAAAATGAGTTTCCTATCTAATTGAATACATTTCAGAGTTACACTTTGCACTTTTCTCCAGGCAATCAGAGTTTATGTCAGTGCAAACAAAAGGGAAGAAATAGAAACACTGCTCTTTGGTATGATGTTTAAGGATTGATATCACAGCTGCATTAATGTGTCGCATTTTACTGCTGTAAATGTTTAAAGGTTTAACTCCCTTATATACTGTTTTGTAGTTAGTTTCATATGTTATTGCTGTCGTCTAGGAACAACATGAATTAAAAGTCATATTTGAATAAGCTCAGAAAAAACAGCCTTGATGGAGGAGCAGGTACACTTTTCATTCATTGTTACACTTTTTATCTGAAAAGTAACAAAAGCAGCCAGCAAGTAAAATAAGATGTTTCATAACAGAATTATTCCATAGCAGGACTCTACTTATGTTTTTTCACACATTTTCCCTTGAGACAGCTTGGTGGATATAGTATTCATACGTATATGAGAGCACACATTTACAATGACGTGTCTAGATGTATTCACTTACCTGCTTTCAAGGTTCTGGTGATGTACTGACACCATTAAGGCCTTGGCAGCTCTCTGACATTGTTCTAACAAGAATGCTTCTCTCCCATCATCACCTTTTGTGCACATTCCTACACCCCATTGTTGAGATTCACTATGACCAATTGGGTGTGTTGTTAGAGCAGTAGATGCTGAACACTAGGAGTCTTTGAATGAAGCCACACTCACCCTGGATGACACAGTACCATGGCCGCTTAATCACTCAGCGAGTCACCGGGTACAGAACACAGCTTCTCTTCCTGTGCTGTCACCATCCCTCCATCCCTGCTGCCCCGCTACCTGCTCGCCAGCATGAGCTGTCAGCGGCCCGAACAACTCCCACACACTGACAGCACACACCCATTTTACACATGTCCACATAAATTACACGCATGCAAGCAACATGCACAAAGAGGACATAGAAGAACATGATAAATCTGTTCTGACTTCTGTCACATTTCTGGACAAAGGATATCAAACAGAGTCGTTATATAAATACACACAAAAGCACACACACTCTCCTCAACTCACTTTCCGGAAAAACAGACTGAGCGAGAAAGGTGTTATTTACTCTGTCAGAAGTGTGTAACGATTTGGCTTTTCAGGAGTTAAATATTTGTGGCACTGAAGGACATTATATTATGAGCATGTTCTCATTTAGAAAAGCTTTGAATAATAAAAGACTGCGGTTCCTGAAACTTCTCTTAGAATGTGTTATCTGCAGTGAATACATACCACAACGATAATGTGTATTTGTATCATTGTTTCAAGACATTAAAGCATTTAGAAAT